CATGGGTCAGCTGCCCCCCTACATGAACCACCCGCCCCCAGGGCCCCCGCCGCAGCACAGCGGCCCTCCTGTCAACGCCCCCCCACCCCATCACTATAACCCCTCCTTCCCTGAGGACCAGGGCACCCTCAGCCCCCCCTTCAGCCAGCCGGGGGGGCTGAGCCCGGGCATGTGGCCTGCCCCCAGAGGGCCGCCCCCCCCACGGATGCAGGGTCCGCCCCCGCAGGGCCAGATGCCGGGCCCCCACCATCCAGACCAGGGCCGCTACAGGCCGTACTACCAGTAAGCTGGTTGCCTAGGTAACAGTCATTTCCAGTGATGTCAGCAAAGGATGTAGGAGAGCTAGATGCGCACGCAGTCCCAGCGTCTGCCGGATGAATATCTACGTTCATTAGTTTCACAATAAACATGTTTGTTTGATTTTTGCCTCAATCTTTTCAGACTTGTTGATTTTATTATAAAATAAAGTGACGCTGATTTAAACTCCTCCTTCTTTTCCCTCCGCAGTATGGGGAGAAATCAGTTCCTCTATTATTAGAAGCTGAGACTTTGTTTCAGAAAAGGAAATTTAAAGAAAAAGTTTTAAAAACGGAACAATCAAAAGGTTTAAAAAATAATTTACATGTTGCAAATGTTTGAGTTTATTTTCAACATCCAAAGGTTTCCTTCTGCTGGCAGATTTGATCCTGTAAGATGGATAAATGCTGCAATAAAACGGATTTAAAGCTGAAACTCTTTGGTCTCCTGGACTTCAAACCTGGAAGAAAAAGAAGAAGAAAGAAGAATGGAGCCTCAGTGAGTTATTAGGAGTAATGGATGGATGGAAGGATGGATGGATGATTGATGGATGGATGCGCTCGGTTACATTTCTGTGGCCTTTCATCCATCTTCAATCAGTCTAGATGGTTAATCTGAACTCGTATTGATTAGGATTTTATGTAATAAGTTGGTCCAGTTGATTTAAATGAGTGAGAATAATGTAGATTATATTAGAGCCTCAGAGGAAGAGAAAAAACAAACATCCGACATTGAGAGGAATTTTTCCGTTTGTGAGAAAAAGACATTAAAACCCTGAAAGGAGTCAGACTGACTCTCTCTGCAGTGACATCCTAACGCCACCAGATGGCAGTGAAACGCCACCCTACAGCTGCCAATAATGAGTTAAAGCATTTCTTCTACCATCATTTCTTTCCTCATCATTTTTATGCCGAGTTTCTCCACCAAGCAATTCTCTGGGATTTGGGGGATTAAGGAGGTCAGTGTCCTAATCTATGAGAGACTTTAATCTCCATAGATTAGGACACCATAATAAACAATCCACAGACTATGGAGTGAAAACTGTTCCATTATGGCGAGAAAAAAACATGTAAATGCTAATTTAACAATAAAACTTTAAAACACTTCTTAACTAAAAAAGGTTTTAACTTTGCTTTTATCTCAGACCGTTTTTTCAGATTAAGTTTTTCAAAACGCATTTTTCTTCAAAATGCGTTTTCCAGAACATAAAGTGTTCACTCCTTGGGGGGGACGAATGAAGGAGCATTTCTATTGGTTTGCATTTTAATTGGTTCATTTTGGGCTTAATTAAACAGAATATGATCAGTAGAACAAAAGAACATTTAATAAAAAAAATTCATAAAAGTCTTAAAAAGAAGATTTTGAAGAAAAAAAATGAGAAAAAAAAACAAAGTTTGTTTCAAAGCCTTCTTATTAGAAGGCTTTGAAACTTATTAAAACTTTAAACTTATTAAAGAAGTTTGTCAAAGTTTTGTTTCTGGATTATTTAGTGTGAAATAATATTGGAACAAAGTTAATTTCCTGCGTCACACAGGAAGTGGCGAACGTCCCTCCCTGCAGGAAAGCTCTGGTCTGAATGAAACTTTTATTTCTATTCAGCCAGTTATTAATCAAGGACGTTCTAAATCATAAAACCTTCATCCTAACATGCGAGTTTTCAGCTCCGCAAAAGGAGGTGAAACCCGTCAGTCTGCAGGCAGACGGAGAAAAAGCAAAGATCATGAAGCCAAGATGACTGGAGGTGACCTGAGTTTATTCAGCTGCTTTGTTTAACAGCTTCCATCAACTGTAAATCTTGTAATGTTTGTGCTTCCTATAAATGGCCTGTTGACGGCAGGATAGTTTGCTTCTATAAAAGGTGAGGATGGCAGCGGGGGTCAAACCCGGGTCACGTTCGTTTCCCTGTTAGCAGGCGTTAACAAACAAGGGCAGGGCCGGCAGCGTTGCTGAGCCACTGACTCATAATCCTGGCTTCCCTGAACACCTGATGCAGCTACAGGTAGAGAAAGAACCTTTGTCCCCGGGGCGGCGGCGCCCGCTGACTGGAAGCTAAATCAATCAACCAAGAAGGAAAACAAGCTCCTTCTATAGGAAACAAGGACCGGCGGATGATTCAGACGCTTCTGATCATCTGATAATGAGATAAACTGAGATCAGCTGTGAGGATCAGATAAACGCTGCAAAGATTCTCAGTTTCACCGAAAAACTAAAATCAGACTGATTGTCCTGAGAGGAAACCGGCAGCGCTCCGATCACCCCACAGTCAGTGGGGCTGCTGGGGTCTGTGGCTGAGAGGCGGGGTCTAACCTGGACAAAGAGGCGGGGTCTAACCTGGACAAAGAGGCGGGGTCTAACCTGGACAGGCCTCCATTTTGTCTAACTGGTCTGCAGGAACCTTCTGGGCCCTTTGGACCAGTGAGGTGGTGTTTCCAGTCCAGGTGAGGGTGTCTGTGATGACAGAGACCAATGTGCTGATATTTCATCACAGGCAAACGTCCACGTTTTCATCTAACCCTCCAAAATAAAATAAAAAATATAATAAAATATGATCAAGGGTTTCTAATCTCCAAAGCATCCTCAGCCTTCTGACTGGTTGATGAAAACGTCCTTCTGCTTCACGTCCACAGGACAAACATTTCTTCCATCTGCTGCCAAACCTTCAGTCTCCAGCTTCAAAACATCCCAGTCTGCAGATGGACCAAGTTACATCAGCTTCATTCCTGCAAAGTTAGAACTTCTCATTAATTAATGGCTGTTTCAGGATTGATCTCAAAGTTTTACCTCCTGAGCTTTTTACTAATCTGCTTTCTAAATAAAGTGTCTCTATGAAATCATCTACATTTGGCCTCGTTTCAGATAACGTTGCATCAGAGGTTATTGGACTGTGACTGTTAATTTATTTCAGAAATACTTGATTAATCCCAAAGGAAAATAAACATTTTTAACAGATTCAGACACTGCAAAAAAATAAAATAAAAAATGGTTTGTTTGCTCAGATTAGAGGTTAATAAAAAGAAAAGCAGGATAATCAGTAGCATTCATAATAAAATCATAATTTTATGTTACATTTAGCAAGAATAAGAGACAATTCTCACTCCAGGCCTTTAGGTGGCAGTAATAGTTTTTTCCTGGGTGTGCAGCGCACAGATGGACGGCTGGAAAACAAGGAGGAGTCAAAATCACACAAACCGATGATCAGAGTCTATCGATTAAACTAGAAGAAAAAACGATTTTCAACCCAACGAGCTTCAACTTTATTTATCCGCCAGGAAATATTTTGATTAGTGCAGAGAAACATTAGAATAAAAAAGCACATTACATGTTAGTATAAAAACTAATGTGATTTGTAGCAAAGCTGAAAACCCAGAGGAAAAATATTGATTAATCATTTCAATTCTATTCAGTTTATTTCTATAGATTCACATCATGTCTCCTCAGGTCATTTTATAGATCCAGATCAACCAGATCATCCAGTCAGATTGATTCAAAGTTTTCTATCTAAGGAAAACCAGCTGATTGCATCGACTCATTGACTCTTCAGCAATCCCTCACACTAAGCATGCTTGTAGCGACAGTGGAGAGGAAAAACTCCCTTTGAACAGGAAGAAACCTCCAGCAGAACCAGGCTCAGTGTGAGCGGCCATCTGCTGAGGCCCACTGGGGTTCAAGGAGACAGAAGCAGACGTAGAAAAAGAAGCATAGATACAAAAGGCAACTGTCAACCAGCTCCACAGGCGGCCCTGTGGTTGACTGGGATTATTGCAAAGTTACACAGGCTGCCCAGTAGTTGCCATGAGTTAATGCTCAGCGAGAGAGAAGAATGTTGCACAGGAGAGACAATAGTTGATGTTTTTATTAGCCGCAGGAGCTGCAGACCTGAGGGACCGTCTTTTGATCATGCTAGGCGTCTCGGTTCAGCTGGAAGGCCGTGAGAAACGCCACACGGCGTGGCGCGGAGGACCAGCGGCGGAGCTCCAGTGATCAACCACAGCCTGCTAGCTTTCTCTGATCCTAAATAATAACAAAGATCTGTCTGTAAATTAGGAGCAGAGTTTAAACCTACTCGTCTATTAATAAAGTCTAGAACAGTTTATCATCCAGCTTCTTCTCTCCTCTGTTTCATCTTATTGTCTCCAAATGTTCTTATTTTCAATGGATGCAATTATCATCTAAAGAAATATTGCAAACTTTGACAGAATTGATTTTTTTCTTAATTAAAACATGAAATTAATGTTGATTAAAGTTTAAAATTGGACCTAAAGAATAAAGTAATAGTGAGGCTCAGCTACCCAGCCTGACGGTTTGTAGTCAGAAGGTCACCTGCAGCCATATTTGACCTCTGACCTCCCTCAGGACACCCACACAGCCTCTTTCTCATGTTTCCTGTTTCATTTCTTTTCTGAGCAGCAACTGTTGCTCTTCCAGCGTATTTCTGATGCTGTGTGGTCCCAGCAGAGACGCGTCCATCACATCCTTTCCTTTAGGTTTCCTCTCCAGGGTTTGCTTAATCCTAAACTGGACAAACAGAAAGTTAGTCTGAAACCAAGAATCACCTCTCAGTTTCTAAAATAAATTCCTGCTTTTTATTCTAAGCAGCTGATATTCGCTCCGTTAAAGCTAAAGGCATTTCTTTATTCTTTTAATAAAATTATTTCATATTGATTAAAATATGATTAAAAGTTGATTAAAAGTTCCCATTTTAGCTGTTTGCATTAATATTTGAATTTCCTGTTACTAATCGCATTAAAGCTGATGTTCCTAAAGCTGGAAGTGTTTTACAAAAACAAAGATAGGAAGTTTACAGCATAAATAAAATGTAAAATAATAATAGTAAGTAAAAAAAAGAGTCATAGAAGGAATAAAAGTATTTTAAGAGCTATTAGTCTCCATGTCTGCATTATGGAAGTTTTCTTTCCATCGGTTGATCTTTCAGCATCTTAAAAAGCTTTAAAATGGGGGTGTGCAGTTATTCCTGATTGTCATAGTTTTGGTTCTGATTTAGTTTTTTCTTTCAGTTTTCATTGATTTTGTTTCCATTTTGTGTTTATATTAGATTGTATTTGAGTTCTTTGGTATTTCCACTGTCAGTCTCCTTCTCCTCGCTCCCTTCTAGCCTCCTCTGTCCACACCTGCTCCCAATCTGCTGATTATCCTGCTCTTTGCTTCTCTCTCCCATAGATGCGCCTCCTGCTCAGGTTGCTGG